CCACTGCGGCTGGGACGTAGCAGCCGGTCCTTGTCCTGCTGCATTTGTCCAGGGGATGGTCGGGCTTCTAGGGATTTGTTTGGCTCCTTTATTTCCGTCCAGCCTAAGCCACAAGTCCTTGCGTTGAAATCATTGCAATCCCAGGTGGGAGATGCAAGGAGGGAGGTGACTTCTGCACGGGAGGTGGGAATTGAGCACTGCTGCCAGCATGGGTCACTCTGCCTGCACCGTGTCCTTGCGATGGGGCTTTTTGAAAATCTTCTGCCCTGTGTGCCAGAGTCCCTGTTCAAAAGGGGTTTTCCAGCCTAACCGAAGCTCTGGGCTGAGGTCAGCTTAGTCCCGTGTCCTCTAAGGTTGTGGAGATGAGAAAAAAGGTCTAAGCTTAAAAAAAAACCAAACCGAAGCACATCTTTTGTGTTCAGTTTTTGGTGCGGAGCAGCTGGAAGGAGAGGAGAGCTGGCCGGGCACAGTGAGGCTCAGCTACGCTTTCCCCACCTGATTTGAGCTCAGGGAAGCAGGCTGGGCTGCAAACCAGGGGAGATGGGAGCGGGTCTGCCCTGCGCTCACCTGCCTGCACCGGGGCCGTCGGGTGCAGCCACATCTGTCGCTCGCTGAGGTCAGCCTGCGGCCGCAGTTTGGAGGGGGACATCACATCTGTGGCTGCCGGCGGCTCTCGCCTATGGTCCCTTTCCAGACAGTGCAGCGCTGGCGGCTTGGACAGAACGAACGCAGAGACCGAGGCTCTCCTCGCGCGTTCCCCCGCGCTGTGTCGCCCCGCGTTCCCCCTCTCCCCACGTGCTCCATTTAATGATGAGCACTGCAGTGAGAGCTTCGAGGAGCACCAGAACTCAGCCTGGTTCACGCGTTTCTTCCGCACCTATGGTCCCTTTCCAGACAGTGCAGCGCTGGCGGCTTGGACAGAACGAACGCAGAGACCGAGGCTCTCCTCGCGCGTTCCCCCGCGCTGTGTCGCCCCGCGTTCCCCCTCTCCCCACGTGCTCCATTTAATGATGAGCACTGCAGTGAGAGCTTCGAGGAGCACCAGAACTCAGCCTGGTTCACGCGTTTCTTCCGCAACCCAGCTGTGAGAGTGGCTGACGAACAGGGTTTTCCCGCGCTGGATTGCAGCGTGCCATGGGTAGCGTTGCGAGCTCAGCTCCCAATTGCTGTCTGAGCAGGGAGCAGGATGGCCAGGAGGTGACGCTCAGTGCTGATGTGCTGGTTAACCCTACTGTTGGCTTAGCGTTGGGTGCCTTTGGCAGCTTGGATGGGTCAGGGCCATGGAGGATGTAAGTGAAATCCTTGCTGGCTTCATGCTTAGAGATAGTCCACGGTGCCAGGGACGTGCCGGCGGCGGTGCCGCGATAGCTGCCTGCAAGGTGGCTCGGCAGAACCGGGTCAAAGGGGCCCCTGTGGTGCGTACTGGAGCTCTGTAGTGATTGCAAGGGGCACGGGACATCTCCCAGGCATCTCTCCCCTGGGTTTTGAGGGGTTGCTCTTGTTTTCTTTGCTCTGGAAAAATTATTCTCCAAGCTTGTGGGACAACTGGTCTGGAGAGTCGAGAGCGGCTGGTGTCCTTTCTGCACAGATTGCCCTCAGCTCCGGGATATAAAGCATGAAAATGCTTCTCTTTAGAAGCTGTTTTTTCTGAAGTTGTGGAATCTCACGTGCTTCCTGGGATGTTGTCTGTGGGACTCAGAGGAACTCCTGGCTTAGACCTGCTTAGAGGGGTCTGTGCAGGCAGCTGGTCCGATTGCAAAAGCAAGCCTGTCAGGGAAGCAGCAGCGGATGCCGCAGGGCTGAGGTTTGGAAGGCTGTTGCTGCCGTTAGTCCCGTCCGGTTAAGGGCTTGCCAAGCTGCTCCTCAGTCTTCCCTGTGGAGCTGGACAGGAAGGGTAAGGGCACACATGTGTCGGGATGCCCCTTCCTGGGGTATCCTGGTCCTCGTGCCCTTCTTCAGGGTCACAGGATGTCACCGCAGCCCTCAAAACGTCCCTGGCGGTGTCTGCCTGTCCTCGGGGTTGCTGTGATTTTGGCTAGATGCAGGAAACTGGCTCTTGCCCTGCTCACTCCCAACAAGCCGGCTGCTTTGGAGCCAGGGAAGGTGCTTGCTGCCCACAGCATCCTCCTGCCCGGATAAACTGGAGCTCCTTGAGCCAGGGAGGCTGCAGAGAAGCAGCTGCACCTCTTACCTCCCTCCTACAGAGCCGGTGCAGGCCGAGTCCATCAGCATCCCCATCCCCTGGCCCCTGAAAAAGGTGAGTGCTGACTGTGGTTTATCCTGCTGTTTTCCAGGTCAGAGCGGCTTGGGGAAATCTACGTTAATCAACACCCTCTTCAAATCCAAAATTAGCCGGAAATCTGTACAGCCGACTTCTGAAGAGCGGATCCCCAAGACCATTGAAATCAAATCCATCACTCACGGTGAGGCTCTGCAGATCCCACCTGGTGGCTGGCTTTTGGTCCTGCTCTGCCTATGTCTCCAGGGGCTCGTGGCGGTTGTGGACCTCCACTAAACCTCTGGTCCTTTCTGTCTGAAGGGGCTTTTACCATCCAGAGATGCTTGCAGAGCTGAGAAAACATCTATTTTCTCTTTTTATCCACTGGCATTTACTTAACTGTGATAGAAGGGAACAAGTGAGGTGGCCATGGGGGGTGGCACTTCAGGGCAGATGTGGTTCTGCATCCCTTTGGAGGGCTGGTTTGTGCCGTTAGTAGCTGTGAGGGTGCGTTGCTCCCCTGGGGGCAGCTCTCCAGCTGATTTTGGGAGGGCTGCCTTGGCCAGAGTGCCCCTCGACGCTTGCCTCACACACCGGCTTTCCTCTCTGTTTCAGAGATTGAAGAGAAGGGGG